TCCCTCTAACATCTGCTCATCAGTGACTGAAAGCCATTTCTTCCTCCATACCCCTAGATCAAGAAGCACACAGATTTCAGAAGGATTCAGGATTGGTCTTAAACCCAAAATGAACACCAGTTGCTATTCTGTTCTTGGAAAGGAGCAGTGGGAGGCTACAGTTTACGCACTTTTTTTCCTCCAAGTTAATGATACATTTTTGTAAAACTTTAGCTGGTTCAAATGCCATATAACAGATCTTTGTCATGGAAACCAGGCTGAACTGTGACATCTATTCAGGGTCATTGCCAGGCAGATGTTAGAACATGGGATTTGCAACTTCAACACCAGCCTTTCCTGTCGTCTTCCTCTTTCTGCACCAAATTTCTTTCCCTTTGCAGAACCCAGGCACCCAGACTGCACACATCCTCTCACTGACCATGGTGGAGCTGGCAGAGAAGCTGAAGGAGGGGTCCCTATCCCCAGAAAGCGTTCTCTACTCCTATATAGGCAAAGTGAGTGATGTCTCCAACATAGAGAGATGCTCCAGGGCTCCTCTGGTGCTGCTTGCAACCAGCCTATTTTGTGGGAGAATGGCAATGCATGAGATCACAATTTGTCAGGATGGATGAAGGGTGGCTTGTGGCTGAATCCAGAGATCCAGGGCAGAAAATTATCCCCAAAATAAGTATGTAAAATTCATAGGTAAAGTCTGAATAATGATTGTTGAATGCTGGAGGTTTGAGGAGACTGAATTCTCAGCTTGAAAACATAAAGTGCTGTTTCTTTCCTTCAATCTATTTATTCATCTTGCTACTCTATCCAACCTCTCTGGAAAGGCTCTGGAGGTGAATCAGGAAGTGAACTGTGTAATAGACTTCATTCATGGCTGTGAGGATCAGCTCCAGAAACTGAAGAAACAGAAGGACAAGGGGCTGCTCTATGGCATTCCTGTCAGCATCAAGGACCACATTGACTGCAAGGTATATCCCTAATTCCCCCTCCCCTTGGCCTGGGGCTGGAAACAGACAAGGATGTCCACGATGTCTCTACCCTTGTATATGGGATCCAGCTTTATCCTTTTTACCTTATCACAGCTAACCAAGGGTGCCCTCAGACACGGATGCTTTGGACCATATATGTTATTTCTGTAGTTGTTACAGCTCTGAACAGCATCTTTACTGGTACCTAGAGAGCTTTGCTTCCTATCCCCAAGGGTCATGTCTCCACTGGTGGGATGGTGAAGTTTCTGGGCCAAATGAAGGAAGAAGACAGCGTCATCGTCCAGGTTCTGAAGAGCCAGGGGGCAATCCCCTTCGTGAAAACCAACATCCCGCAGACAATGATAAAGTAATTTCGTGTGCATCTTCATGAAGACACTGTGTCATGCAAGTCTTGTGAACTGAGAGCGAGCGGGGCCAAATGCACAAGTTCCCACCCTCTTCCAAACAAATCATGCACGCTGAATTCATTGCCTCCCCATGTCAAACTACCATTCCTTGGTCTTTCTGTAGAATGCTACAAAGGAAGTATTTATTTTTGATGCCTCTTTCTTCCTATACTAATCAACATATCTAGTACACAGTGATTCTACCCCTAGCATTAATTATGCATTGTCTTGTCTTTATGATTTGTGGAGATAGAAGTACTTCACTCACCTGCTGTTCTTCTCCCCAGCTATGACTGCAGCAATCTCATTTTTGGCCAGACGCTGAACCCCCTCAACCACCAGAAGACCCCCGGGGGCTCCTCAGGAGGGGAAGGAGCTCTAATTGCAGGGGGAGGCTCCCTCCTGGGCATTGGCTCAGATGTAGCTGGCAGCATCCGCCTGCCATCCAGCTTCTGTGGGCTATGTGGGCTTAAACCCACAGGCTTCAGGATCAGGTACACCCTAACAACTGTCCCCTTCCAGCTAATGTAGAGGGTGAAAAGTTTTTCCTGCAGTGCACCAAACTACACAATAAATTTCTGTTTATCAGAGATGGGTTATTCTCAGATGCGGAATTGCTTAAGCACCAGGGAAAGGAAATGATAAAAAACATCTCTAGCACCTGGCAACTTAATGCTCCTGGGACTCTCCCTAATCTAGAAGGGTGCCAAGTCTCTGCAGGGCCTTTGGTCCTCCTAGATAGTCACTGGGGCAAATGGGAAGTCTGCAAGCCAGCATGGTGACACACCTTAGAGCATGACACCTTAGATATCTAATCTGCTTCTCCCATTCTGCTTCTAGCAAATTGGGTGTGATTTCTCCTATCGCAGGAATGAGCTCAGGTAAGTTCATCCAGATAATATATTACTACTGCCAAACGTTCTCTGCTGTTGGCAGCATGGCTGCAGTCCTTGTTCCTCTTGAATGGGACTTGTGCCTGCAGAATGCTGACCCAGAAGATGACATCCTGCCTCTGAGACTTAGGGACTGTCCTTGGCAGGCTTCCTTGCTCACTTCTTGCACATTCATTCCCCAGTCCTCTTCCCTGGCCTGAATAAAACTCCTCTCCTCTGGGCCACTACCAGCTACTATAAGGGAGCAGCAGACCCACCTGCCTGAAATAATGGGATCTTTGTGCTTGCAGTGATAGGGATGCTGGGGCCAATAGCAAGGGATGTGGACAGCCTGGCCCTCTGCATGAAGGCGCTGCTCTGTGAGGAGATGTTCCGTCTGGATCCCACCGTGCCCCCCATCCCCTTTGATGAGGAGGTGAGGCTCAGAGGCAGTCCCATGCCTCCATTTGTCTACCACTAAAGAGAGATCTTGAGAGACTCTCATCTGGTTTCATACCTGAAGACAGTGAAGGGGAAGCAACGCTGCTGATCAGACGGGTCCCAGCACGAGCAACCATGAGAAGAAGCCACAGACAGGGTTGGCAGACGAGGCCTGCTGAATGCTGATCCCTACCATTGCCTTCCCAGCAATGCCTGGAAAAGACTTGTTGGCTTCCTAAAGGAATTCATTTTTCCTGATCAGAGAAATTCACCCCTCACATCTTTAAAAAGAGCCTAATTGAGAAGCCATGAACCTAAGAAATCTTTGCGCTTTGCAATTATCTCTCTGGTTCTGCCCATTTGCTGCTTTCTGGCTCAGGTCTTAGCATCTTTCAATTGTCCCTGCTATACAGACAATTATTTCTGACATATGGCTCTTTCCACTAGCCCAAATGCCCTGTCTTTCTTCCAGCCCTATCTGCCTTCCTAGGAATGGTCTGATCTGGTACATGTGTCCAAGCAGTGGCTCTTCTCACAGGTTTACACCAGTTCAAAGCCACTTCGGATTGGATATTATGAAGAAGATGGCTACTTCCAACCCTCACCCAGTATGAAACGGGCCGTCCAGCAGACCAGAAAGCTCCTCCAAGAAGCAGGGCATACAGTAAGTTTTCACACCTGTGGTTACTAGGAGCTATCATCCTGCTCCTTACGGAGTCTGGACAAGTCATTTCACATCTCTCTTTTATAAAGAATGCCATGGGACAATGTTTTTTCCATCATGTTTTGCACCTCCATAAGCATCGATCTTGCAGCAGCTTCCATGATCCTGCATCTGCTGAATCCAGTTTACATATTTTTGGGTGGAGTACAGGTTTGGAGCAGTTGAGCTCCCAGGGTCACTTCTAGCCTAAACTACAGTGTGGTTCTGCCAGTAGTATTTTCTATATAGAGTGTTGTTCCAGTGACAAGTATAAATTAAGAATATTTGGTGTTTTGAATACTTGGCCTCTAAATATACTTCTCTAAGGAGCAAAGAAGAAAAGCCTATGTAAAATCATGTCATTGTGTGCTAATGCCTTGGAAACAGGAAAGGACAGAGGGCGGATGGCAGCAGCCCAGGTCTCTTTGAATATGGAGGGAGGTCTACACAGGGCTTTGTCATTAATTTGTGTTTCTTGCCTCTTGAACAATGAATGGTTTTCCTGCAGATTGTTCCCTTTGCACCACCTAAGATTGACTACATGGTAGATGAACTGTTTACCAGAGGGATTTTCTCAGATGGTGCTGCTCACATGGTGGACTCTTTGTGAGTAAAACTCATTGCTTTCAGTGCAAACCCTGAGACTTGACATAGTGTGACCAATGGATGCATCCAAAGTGCTTTTGTTCCTGTGGATGCATGCTTTTATGAACATGGTGGTAGGTGGGTTGTTGGACTGGATGATCTTAGAGGTCTTTTCCAACCTTACTGATTCTATGATTCTAAAGAGAGAGCAGCAGAGAAGTGATTTCTGGAAGGGAGAATTCATCTTGGACAGCAACTATCTCACTACAGTAGGTCACATGCATGGATAACCCCGTAGGGTAACAGCATGCCCTGTGTCAGCAGTGCTGTGGCAAATGTTTTTATGCTTGTGATTAGTCTGTGGCACATGGGGAACAGCACAAGCTGTGTAACTTCCCACAGAAGTGCAGAGGGTCAGCTCTGGTGAGCAGCCCGATGCCCACCTTGCCAATTGCTCACTACCTTTCCTTATAATAGGGAAAATAGGATAGGAAAATAGGGAGAAGGCTTATGGGTCAAGATATAAACAGATTGCTTGCTGATTGCTATCATGGGTAAAGCAGACTCAGCTTGGGGCAGTCAAGCTGAAACCAGCTCTGGATTTGACTCTGGGGGTATGGTTGGCCACCTCCAAATAGGGTTGTGCCCTCTGGCACAAGTTTCTTGTTCTGAGTACCTTTGCTCTCTGTCCTTCTAGCAAAGGAGATATCGTGGATCCTAATCTGAAGTCCCAGTTCAATACTTACAGGCTTCCTGCTTTGGTGAAGAGGATCCTGGCTATCATTTTGAAGCCTATTGTAAGTATATGGAGACATCTCATCTGTGTTCTAGGAAGTCATCAAGGTGGGGAACTTGACACATGATGGGCTGCACCACTCAATGCTTTGCTGCCTTGTGTCAAGAGTCTGGAGGTTTTTGAAGTGCCATACTCTTAAGTAAACTTGGTCTCTATGCAAGGATCTAAACATCATCTCCACATCCAGGAGATTTTCTCCAGGGCTAGCAGTGCTGTCTAGAGCATTATTCCTAGGAGTTGTTGTAATTGAATTAAAGAAGGGCAACAAAGGGTCTGAAGGGCCTGGAATAAAAGTCTGATGGAAGTGGCTGAGGGAACTGGAATTGTTTAGTCTGAAAAAGAGGAGGCTCAGGCGAGAACTTATTGCTCTCTACAATCCCCTGGAAGCAGGTTGTAGTGAGGTGGTCAGCCTCTTCTCCCAGGTAACAGAGATAGGATGAGAGGTGATGGCTTTGAAGTGGCTTTCAAGAAAAGGGTAGGTGTTGCACTCAGTGACATGGCTTAGAGAGTGCGGTGGTGATGGGCTGACAGTAGGACTGGGTGATGTTAGTGGTCTTTTCCAACTTTAATGATTCTGTAATTCTATGAATGTGTAAGTTATTGTTGGATTACAACCATCTCATTGGAAACTGTACCTGATCTTCAGAGCCACTTCTACTAGGACAAGAAGCTTGCCCAAAATAAAGTCCCATCTATTTCATCTGCATTGTTGACTAATCCCAAGTTTTTCTTCTTCCCTCCCAAAGTACCCACGAATTGCTCGGGATCTCAGTGCTCTCTGTGGAGTGGGGTAAGTGGCACTGAAGTAGAGGAAGGGATTCACGTGGATGTATCCACTGGGTTCATGCAAGTAGATGCCAGTTTGCTGTGCAAAATTACTATGGCTCAGCATGGTGTTGTCTAGGGCGAGGCATCAGAAATTAAGGGTCCGAAGTTCCTCATTGTGGCAGGGCTAGGATATCTCAGCTCACACAGATAAAGGCAGCTTTCCTCATGGTTAGGTGGATTCTGGTATACAGAAGGCAATGTGCCAAGGCAGTACAGATACCTGCATATGGATGCAGTATGATGTGAAGTGCAGACCCCTCTGAGAGACAAAAAGAAGCAAACTGAGAGCAGTTGAATTTAAAAGACTGCCATGATTTTTGTCTAGGTCAGAATAAATGAAATCATGGCAGTAGGCTCTTTTGATGTATGCACAAGTACATGTGAACCCTGTGGAACCATCTAGGCAATGCTATGACTTGTTCTCGGGGTGGTCATGTAGTTCCCATAACAATGGGCTATTTGTACTTGTATTATTATTATTGTTTTCTGTTGCCACAGTCCCAATTCCAATCAATCTTTTCACCATTCCAGGTCTGCCAAAAACCTCTGGGATCAGCATATAGCTGTGGCGGTAGGATGATTTATCTTCCTTCGTAAATACAGTGAGGGATTCCTATCATTGGTTTCGCCTCTGTGATGGATCTGGTGTTGGGTCATCTCAAATAAAGCAGCTGGGCTTTTCAAGCGATGTTAATGTAGAGGTCTCTACTTGCTTACTCTCCCCAACCCAAATTAGGACAGAGTAAAAATCTGCGGTTGTGAACTCTTTGGCTCAGATGTACTTTGTATGAACTCATTTTGGTTCAGCAATGTGGGACAGGAAGCATTGTCGTGGACAGCTGAGCCCATCGCTGCTCACAAACCAATCAGGTTCCTTTTCAAAACAACCTGGGTTTTGCATTTGCACTTATTTTTATTGGCCATCTCCTCTCCTCTCTGATCTGATGATTGGAAGCCTTCTTATTTCTTCTGCTGCTTGTTCACTTGCAGTTCGTACTCATTTTATTCCATCCCTGAGTTTAAATAACACCTCTCCTCTCTGGTATTTTCCACTCGATCCCAGTCTATTTGCAGACAGCAGTTGTGTCCCCTTTTAGCTGGTGTTTTGCTAGGCTGAAGGAGTTGAGCTATTTTGGCATCTCCTCACAAGGATCTGTGTTGCTTAGGACACCCTTACAACCATCCCTGAGAGCAAACATGCCTCCAGCTTCCACCATGCAGCCTCTGTCAGTGTCAGTCGTGAGATAGAAATGCATGCTCACAGCAGCAGGTCTGATTGACTGAAAGCAGATCATTCTTCTCCTACTCCCACCCCACTCCCTGCCAAAAAAAAAAAGAAAAGAAAATCCTCTAAAAAGATTTGGTAACCTCAAAGGTATTTTGGATTTTTTTTTCTTCAGCAAAGCATTATTCATGGTTTACATTTATTACAAACAATTTTACAAACATTATTCGTCAAACTTTCAGCAGATTGATCTCCGGCTGCGTATAAAATTTGAGAACAGATAAAAAATAGAATCATAGAATCACTGAGGTTGGAAAAGACCTCTAAGGTCATGTAGTCCAATCTCAACCTGTCCCCAGCTTCCCATGTCCCTCAGTACCACTGAGGCTGCTCAAGTAGCCCTATGGTCCATCCGTATTGATTTACTATGGGACAGTGGAGCAGCAATTTGAGAATGGATTCATCCATTGCCTGATGTTCAGTAGACTCTAGATTCTTCTACCAAACTAACAAAGCTTTTAGGAAATGGACTTTTATTTGGATTACTGTTGATCTCCACTCAATCAAATGCAAAGACAAAACCGTGCGTAAGGACTGGGTAAGCATTCACAGAAAGCTGTCAACTCTGAAACGCCCACTTGACATCAGTGCCTATGTCTGGGCAGGATAGACCTGGGAGAGGGAAAATGAAGCCTGCTGGCTCTTTCAAAGTACAGCTCAGATTTTATTTCACCTTTCTCTTTTATCTAAGCATGCTTTTTTTCCTCTTTTCTATGCTGTAGACATTGATCTGCCACTGCTGTCCAACAGGCATTGGTTGTCATCTGCTCTGTCTTTCCCTCTAGGTTTACCGCACTGAATTCATTGCTAAATGGAGGAAGCAAAAACTGGATGTGATTCTTTGTCCTGTACTTGGTCCAGCCTTTAACCATGGCTACGCTGGGAAGCTATTTGGTAATCTCCATTGAGACATCTCACGGATGCATCTATGTTATTGTTTGTGGGCAAAGCAGCGGCAAGATGTTTAGGTCTCTTGTACATTCCTCAGACTGTGTGTAGTGTCTGCTCTTCCCTCTGAGGAAGTTAGCACAGGGAATTCTCCACTCTGTGTCTCCTCATGTTCCCACTTCATCTGAGCTGCAGATGTTTGGATTATTATGGGCAGCATTTAGTGACACATCAGTCCCAGTAGTTACTTGGTGAGCTTCCTCTGTATCATCTGACCTTCTGAAAGTGCACGTGAAGGGAGCTGCTAGAGTGCTGGCAGTTCCTATCTCAAGACAAGTTCTTTTGAAAGCGGCTATCTTATGTTCCCCGTAAGGAGCTTTGCAAGGAGCAGACATGAAAATTTGCGTTGCAGAAAGAGGCTATTTGATAGCTTCCAAGAAACACCGAGAGTCTTCCATTCCTCTAACTGCAGCTCTCTGCCCTAGAAATGCCCTAGATGGTGTTACAGACCTGGATACCAGGATTTTACCCTGAAGTGTGAAAGACAAGTTCAGACTTCGTCTGCCTCAGGTCAAATATTCATATCTATCTCTCTCAGAGCAGAGCTAATATCCACCATGCAGCCCTCAAACCTCCCCACCAGGAGTCCCATGGTCTTTTTAGATCCAGCAACTCCAGTCCAAAATTCCTTCAAACTGAATTATCATCTGAAAGTCTTCACTGGCCCAGCACACTTAAATTTTACATGTTCTGTGTGATCTTTTCCAGCTGCAACCTCCTATACCAACTTGTACAATGTCTTAAACTTCCCTGCTGGAGTGGTGCCGGTCAGCACAGTCACAAGAGCTGATGAAGAAGAACTGAAGCATTACCGAGGGCACTACGAGGATCCTTGGGATAAGAGACTGAAAGAGGTGAGCAGAGAAAGTCTTAGCAGAAGGCCATGACAGTATGCACCCCTGGCATATTGTCTTTTCTCCATCTTATGATGACATCTGTCTCCTTGTATATCTTTCACTTTCTGTACTGTCAAAAGATGGCATTACACACCCTGTGCTCTGACTCAACACCACGCTTAATTTTTGCAGGCTGTGGAAGGAGCCGTGGGACTGCCTGTGGCTGTGCAATGTGTGGCTTTGCCATGGCAGGAGGAGCTGTGCCTTCGGTTCATGAAGGAGGTGGAGAACCTTTCCCGTGGCATGAGGAGAAATGCATGATTTCTCAGGATCTGCTTTGCTTATGTTGACCTTTAATACCCTGCTCGTCACTCCGTCACCTTTTACTCAGTGTGCAACACAGATAGCAATCTGCAGACTCCAAATTCCATTTCAGTAAAATGGCAATAAATGCTGCTTGAAAGCAGTTGGAAAAATCTATTCCCTGTCCAAACTTCCTCTTTCATTAAAGTGAGATAAAACCTGGTCTAGTGCTTGATCTAGTGCTTGATCTAGTGCTTGGCAACCCTGCCCATAGCAGGGAGTTGGAACTGGATGATCTTTGAGGTCCCTTCCAACCCAAACCACTCTTTGGTTCTATGAGAAAACTAAAAGCAAGGCAAGAGAGTTAATTTGGAGGAAAGGAGTCTGAAAACCATAGTGAAACAATATTTGGTGTATAATATAAGGCTGAAGAGCTGATTACCTCTATATTTTATTTCCAACAGTGGCAGTAACAGATGTTTAAGGGAGAGTATAACCTGGCAGGATTCTCTCTTTGGCTGTGCCATTAGTTGACAAAAGGTTGCAGTTAGCCCATCAGTAACTGGTCATCAATAATTTAATAACTAGTTCAGCCTCTTCTTGGTCTCTGTTGTTCTTTTGGTCTCCACACCATCCAATGGCAGTGAGCTCTACAGTTTAATTGGGAAGCAAGTAGTGGAGAGCTTTGTTATCACTGTTTGAGCACATGCTGTCTGAATAGTAAATAATCTGCCTTCAGTCCTGTTCCCCACTGTTTTTTCCAGTTAAGCAATAGGAAAATAAGGTTGCTATTTTGTCTTTTCACTGCCTATAATCACTAAAGGGAAATCTGAGTTCAAACATTTCTGTGGCTCAGTTTTGGTACTTCCAGCTTCACTGTGAAAATTGTATGCTGTCCTTGACCTAGCCATTGCACTCCAGGTTTCCTGTTCCACTTATGTCCAGCACAACATCCTGGCTGTAGGCTTTGTTTTGATTATTCAGGAGAATTTTAATAAAGACTTATATCTGCTTATTTTTCTTCACTTTGCAGGGTAAACTTTGTCTTGTTGCAATATTGGGAGCACATAAAGCTCCCCAGAAGAACTGGTACCAGCAGGACATACATACATTGTTAGGACAGGTCACTGTTCTCTTACAATATCTGACATAGATAGGACTGCCTGGTGTAACAGAATGTGACAGAAGATATTAGAGACATGATGGCCAGTGCTCAAGTGAGGAAGTAACTAAAAGCAAGTACCCAGAAATGGGTGAAATTAGCAACAATTAGGACTAATCCACCTTTCACTCTGAAACAGCTGTTTCAATTCTCCAAGCATGGTTCCAATCTGCTCTTCCCCACCCCTATTACTGTTCTTCTCCTCTTCATTCAGCTCATCTGGCTTCCTCCTCTTGTCTGCATGCCCAGAGTGAGGCACTAAAAGGAAAACTTCTTGCAGTAAACGTTGTGCCCAGCCACAGAGCAGCTGGGAACAACTTCATCATTCTCCATCACGCTGCTGAAGTGTCTGTGATCACTTGTTCAGTAGGACCAGGCCTGTGCATGATGGCATGATGGAGGACACAGGAATGCTGTGGATTGAAGAAATAACAAATCTCTGCATCTGGCTGACAGCGGCTGTATAGCTGGAGGAGTTGTGAGTAGGATCCATACAACCCATTTATAGTAATGGGAGGTTTCTGACAGGATGTTTCATGTTGGTTAGTGCTGTTCTGCAACTGCTAATGGATTTTGACTGGAATTAAAGCATGTGTTTTGATGAAAATCTTATGATTCCAATAGATATTCCAGGCTGAAATGAGTCACTAACTGGAGAGTTCCCAGAAAATATTTATTCAGCCCTCTTGAGTCAAATGGAACAATTCTAGAGAAGACCAGCCCATTTCACTATGACTTCAGCAGCTTCTGAAATATCTTTAAAGTTGTTTCAGGGCAACATAGTCAACATATTTTGTTTTGGAAAAGTACAGCAGAATGTATGGATACAAAAATCTTGAATATGGGATACAGTCCTCAGGGTTAATTCTTGTCTTTTTGATCAAAATGGATTCTAAGCTGATCTGACTTAAAAAAAAAAAAGAAGAAAAAAATTACCAGATTGGAGGGAGGATTGTTTATGTAAAGGCTCTAATGAAAACCAGCCTGCTTGAGAGCTGCAGGTGTTGGGTGGAGGTTAATGACAGTAAGCTAGTGTTGTCTTGCTTCTTCAAGCAGAGATGATACAGCCTTGCTGGCAACAGGAGCAGACTGCCTGGGTTGGTCTGCTGCCTTATTCTGTGTGAGGCACTGTGGAGGAGGTCTGCAAAAAGAGGAGAAGCGATAACAGTGCTGTCTGTCTCAGGGGTCAGATGAGTACCAAAGGATAGGGATTCTTCCATTTCTTTTTTGGCTCTGTCCCATGACCCACTTGAGTGTACTTCCTCTTATTCTCCCTGCATTGCTCAACATTTGAAAGCCCCACATGCAGCCAGGTAAGCATTTTTATTTCTATCCCCAGCACCAGGATAACAGCAAAAAGAGGAAACCACTGAATGGACAGCAAAGAAAGTCAATTGGGTGATTGTTTTAAAACTTGTTTCTTCTATGTCACCAACACCAAGCATGATAGGCAGTGTATCATTTATAAAATAATTATAGATCTATCTGGAGTCTTTGTGCTGGGACTGGATCAGCTTTGCCTGTTATAAGCTGATGAACCTGGAACTGTACTTTGAATTAGGAGAATGTCCAAAAATGAGGCAGATAGATGCCATTGCAGGCTCAGTATCTATGATTAGACATTATAATGGTGTCTCAGCAGTGGTCCCGAAGCTCCTGTTAAAGCTTAGGGGAGATGCTTAGCAGTAAGTGAAGCACAAACCTGTAGTATTACCTGGCAACCCATGGAAGCAGTCACAACTATTTTGAGGTTGTGACCTGGATTGAGTGCAGTGATAACATCATTGCAAAAGTGCTGCACTTGGCCTTGACTGTTTATCTTCATGAATAAACCTTGAATTGTGTGTTAGGCAGGCTGACTCTTTTGCTAGGGACTTGAGATTTGATCTCATTTTCCCCACAGGGCCAGAGGTCTTTCTCATCAGGTTTCCAAGCAACACTTGGTCCCCTTTGCCTTTGGATCCACATACAGCTCAGCCTATCTGCCTCTATGTAGCTGCTCCTCTCCTTGTTAGGGACTCTCATATGGCTTTTGGAGTGCCTCAGCAGCCCAAAGGTCTACTCAAATGGTGTAAACAAGTTTGGATTTTGAAGCGATCCCATCCCTCTGTATGGATTCAACCCTCATTCCCCTCTGGTTGCTTTTTGCTGCCTATGTTCCCACTGCAGGTTATGGTGGAAGAGCTATTCCTCCAGTTTACAAGGGAGGTGAAAATGTTTGTCCATTGATAGGAAAAGGGCTTCCTCAGCAGCATCCGGCCATCTGGAAGTGCAGCTGTTCTCACTAATAAAACTGCCCTTTGAAATGCCGAGTTGGTTTGGACACAGCTGGCTTTGTCTCTGTTAAACATTTGCAGTGTCTAAAGGGCAGGATCAGAGCACGGGACCCAGAGCATGAGCGGATGTGAGAACCCAATGCCCTGATGCCTCTCAGCAAGAGGAATAAACTCCCACATCCTCTCAGCCCAGTGCAGGAGTTGTGTCACTGCCACGTGCAAAGAGCACACCTCTTCCTTAGGAAGCCTTTGCACAAGTCTCAAGAGGTTGGGAGAGGGCTTGGGTATTCACAGACTCATAGAGGATAGAATCCAATCATTAAGGTTGGAAAAGACCGCTAGGACCATCCAATCCAGCCATCAACCCATCACCACCATGCCCACTAAGCAAAGGTGCCACTAAACAGGAGCACAGTAGATAATCAGCTTAGTTTGCTACAACTTGATTAATTGCTGTCCATTCCACCCTGCTTTTTTGGAGAATGCCAAAATTGATGTTTTCCATAGGGGCTGATGTTTGCAAAGTTCTTGCCTTCATCTCAGATCATGGAGATGCTCTTGTGGCCTTGTAGCAAGAGGTATTTGTGCTACTCTCAGCCACGGGCTGTCTCAATGTCTGTTGGGACTTGCTTCTGGGCTGCAACCATGTGGAACTCACCACCATATTTATGTGCTCGTTCATGACATGGACCCACTTGTTCTGGTGCACGCAGGCATTGTGGCAGTGCTGAGCCCTGTCTCACAGGATGAGAGCACCAGTGGAAGCTCAGGTTGGATATTAGGAAAAATTTCTTTTCTAAAAGTGTGGTGATGCTTTGGCACAGCTAGCCAGGGAGGTGGTGGAGTCTCCATCCCTGGAAGTGTTCAAGAACTGTGGGGATGTGGTACCAAGGGATGTGGGCAGTGGGCATGGTGGGGTTGGACTGGGTGATCTTATTGCTTTCTTTTCCAACCTCAGTGATTCTTTGATAGGGCTCTTGAAGCAGCCTTAGACACCTATGGGAGTAGGATGGGTTTAAAGAGCTTGGAGGATGAGTAAGTACCCCACAAACGTGCATCCTCTCATCATACCATCCTCATCTCTGTGCAGGGAAATCTTGTGCTTTCGAACTGTTTTTTTCCCCCCTCCTTTCATTGTCTTCCTAGGCTATGCAGGAAGCAGGAGCCAAGCTATTTCCTTGCTTCTTTTGTTCAGCAGATCCCACAGCTCTTCCTCCCCAGCAGAGAACTTCCTGCAGCGCAGACAGCCTGCATAAACCCGATACAGCCAGGGTTCACTAGCTCTGCATGCTTAACCTGTTGCACTTTTCGGTCAATCATTCTCCACTTCATGCCCCATTGAAGGCACCTCTGCAGAGGTCAGCTTTGGGTTTATAAGCTATTTGCTGAGCCACACCAGTGGTTCTGGGAGGAGGAACTGATCTGAGGAGACAGGGAAGCTTCTCATTCTCAACCCACCCTCAAAGACCAGAGAGTAGCACAAAGTGATGAGGCAGCTCCTGCCAGAGACAGAGCTGGCTCCTGCTGCTGCCCTTGCCCTTCTCTGTGGTTCTGCAGCAGCTGTAGTGGTCTGGAAATGGCTGGGCAAAAGGCACATCCAGAAGAAGATGGAAGAGGCTCGGAGGATGCGGGATGAAGCTGTGAAGAAAATGGCAAAAGCTGTCCAACAGTTCAGGGAGCAGGTAACCCATCCTCGTGAGGAGCTAAGACCCACTGGGGTGTCTGCTCATGTTCTTCAACTCCTCCTCCTACCTCACCTCTCCATAGCTTTTATAACAAGGATCC